TAGCTCTTATACTTGTATATTTCTTTCTTTAATAAGTTGTGCTATCACCCTTTATTCATGCCAAAAAAAGTGGCTTTTAGTGATCTTAATTTGCATGTTTGTTTCATATATTGATTGGATCACATTTTTTTAATTTTGACTAAAAAAGGAGACAAATCTTCTAATTAATTCACTGTTTTGAGCTAAGGGCTGAACGGTATTTCTTTGAAATTGAGTTTGCAGGAAGTTAGGCTTCATTTGGGATGACTTCCTTATTGCTTTCTAAAACGACTTTCAAGTACAAAAAAATTTTAATTCAAAAATTTTTTGTATTAAAAAGCTATTTTAGAAAGCATCAAAAAAGCTGTCCCAAACGAAGCCTTAGTTCTTGCACAAAACGAACAAATATTATTGAAACATAGTCAATAAAACTCAAAATTTTGAACTCAGCTCTAATCTCTGCCAAAAACTTATGTCAAAATGAACTAGCTCTTATTAAATATAAGATAATGAAAAACATATTTAAATAATTTGAGCCGGTATGATAGGGTGCAAATAATGTATTTTGTAAGGCAGATAGATATATTTGATGTAAAATGAGTAGGTAGAAAAAAGGTGGATTAAAGTTGATATAGTTTGAAATAGGGCAAAAAGACTTTACCTTGTTTAACATCCAGTGTAAATAAATTGAGGAGAACTAATAGAGCCAACCATAAATACTTGGCAAAGGCTAAGGACAATGATGAATGCTTTCAATCTTGACCACCAAAGCTATCCTAAATGCCTACTGATGGTTTAGTCAAGGACCATTTGGAGACGATAGTACAACAACAACAACGACAACATCAAGTCTTTATCCCACTATGTGGGGTCGGCTACATGAATCCTTTTTCTCCATTGTGTCCTATTAAAAGTCAAATTCTCGTTTAAATCTAATAAAGAAAGGTCATTCCTAATATTTTCTAACCAAGTCTTTTTAGGTCTACCCCTACCTTTCTTAACCCAAGTCAAATCTAATACCTCTACTCTCTTAACTGGGTCGTCGGAAGGCCACCTTTTTATGTGACCAAACCATTTAAGGTGACTCTCTCTAATCTTATCTTCTATTGGAGCTACTCCAACCTTTTCACGTATATGCTCATTTCGTATCCTATCTCTAAGGGTAAAGCCACTCATCCACCTGAGCATCCTCATCTCTGCCACACTTAACTTAGTATTATGCTTCTCTTTTAATGGCCAACATTCGGCACCATAAAGCATTGCAGGCCTCACTACCATCTTATAGAATTTTCCCTTAAGTTTGAGGGGTAAATTTCTATCACATAACAAGCCCGATGCATTCCTCCACTTCAACCATCCAACTTGAATTCTGCTGATAATATCCTCATCTATTTCACCATCACTCTGAACAATAGATCCAAGATATCTAAAACGTGTACTCTTATTAATGACTTGATCGCCCAAAGTCACAATCCCTTCAGTAGGTCTATTACTACTAAAATTACACTCCATATATTCTGTTTTAGATCTACTCAAGCGAAAACCTTTAGACTCTAAGGTTGACCTCCATAATTCAAGTTTACCTTCAACTCCCTCTCTAGTCTTATCAACAAGAAGAATATCATCAGCAAAAAGCATACACCAAGGTACATCTTCTTGCAAATGTCTAGTGAGAACATCCAAGACTATAGCAAAAAGATTTGGGCTTAAGGCTGATCCTTGATGTAACCCAACCGAAATAGGGAAATACTCGGTCAATCCACCTTGTGTTTGAACACAAGTAATAGCTCCTGCATACATATCTTTAATGATTTGAATATAAGCATTATTGGCTCCTTTCTTTTCAAGAACTCTCCATAGAACTTCTCTTGGAACTTTATTATATGCTTTTTCTAAATCAATAAATATCATATGTAGATCCTCCTTATTTTCTCTATATTTCTCCATCAAACCTCTTAATAAATGTATGGCTTCCATAGTCGACCTACCGGGCATGAATCCAAATTGATTTTGAGAAACATTAGTATCACGCCGCAACCTATGCTCCATAACTCGCTCCCATAGTTTTAAAGTATGACACATTAACTTAATACCTCTATAATTCGCACAATCTTGTGCATCATCTTTATTCTTAAAAATAGAAATTAACATACTCATTCTCCACTCATCTGGCATCTTTTTAGTCTTCAAAATAGTATTAAAAAGTTTAGTAAGCCATGAAATTCCTTCATCTCCTAAGCATTTCCACACGTCTATTGGAATATCATCAAGTCCAAAGATAAAACATCAACAAACACATTTAATCCTACATCACTATCAGTGGTATCAGTCCACTTTTTACCCCATTATGTGTTTTCTCTATTTGTCAATTTTGGCCATAAGTAACAAACTACATCAAGAAAAATAAAGGAAAAAGGTGAGAAATCTAATTTCTCAAAAATCTTCATCTTTGATCAAATTTCATGAAGGAGGTTATAATGAATCATGGTATGCTTTCTTCTAATTAGTTTTTTTTTTTAATTATATTTTTGACGATCTTGAGTATTATGGCTTGGCAAATATGCTAAAAAATTAGTTGACTGAAAAATGCCATGCGTATACATTTTTTCTAGGGGAGTTTATATACATACCACTTTCTAGTATTCTATTTACATATCTAATCCCTCAAAATTTAATATTTCATGCATACCATCCCTATATCAAATATGAGTGTAAGAAGTGAAAATTTAAAGTTTATAGGGTGGTCTGAGTGGTATCAATGAAATATATGAGATACATATTTGATATTAAAATTGTCTATGCGTGATAAACATTAAATATTAAAGTTTTGAATATTAGATATGTAAATAGCATGATATAAAGTGGTATGTATGTAAATCCTCCTTTTTTTCTATTATATTGTCTTAGTTGATGGTGTATTCAAGTTCTTCGAATCCCTTGGCAAGTAGGTTCTTCAAAGATATGGATCAGTTAAAATGGTAAGCAAAGTTCTGAATTCTATTCGTCCATCTCATGCGATTCCTTTTAATTTTATATCAGGATCCAAAGGAAAACAGCTCCAGAACCTCTCTACGTTTCTTGATTCAAATATTCTGATTAAAACTGGGCATCCCGATCGAGATCACAGAGGTATGGATAGAGCTGCTCGTATAGAAAACTGGCTGTTTTATAACAATACGAAAACTCTTCATTTGCGTAGATTTACACTTTCTTACGTACTGTTAACAATCAGCGCAAGCTTTGATTACTTTCTTCCTGATAAATATTGAACCATCTCAAACTTCACAGCTTCGAACATTTCTGTGAATAATTTAAGTGTAAATTATCCCATAAAAGGTGTATTTTGTGAAAATTTTAAACATTATTACGTTAATCAGGAGTATAGAAATTATGATTTAAAATTTTGATTTGGAAGAATTTATGGGTTATTATTAGGTTAAATGAAATTTGGTTTTCTTTGAAGGCCAAATTAAGTATTTATAGTATTCCCAATAACTTAGGTTATACATTGTATTTATATTAAATTTTGAATTGTTGTATTTGTTAGAGTAACATATAGATAATTACTTTAATTTAAAAGTAATTTTTTATAATTATTTTAATTTTGAATTTGTTATTTTTCATACAAAGAAGTTTCTCAAATTTAGGTTTCGTTTGAGATATTATTTTTATTGTTTTTTGAAGTTGTTTTTTAATTTCAAAAAAATTTTAAATTAAAAATTTGTCTACTAAAAATTGTTTTAGAAAGTAGTAAGAAAGATGTCCCAAATAAAGCCTCATATACAATTGCCTTTAGAAAAAAAAAATACAATTGTCTCTAGAGATTTTCTATTTCAATGTAGAAGCACAAATCTTTAGTTTAAGGTTTCGTTTGGGATTTTTTTTTTCATGTTTTTTAAAATAATTTTTTTAGTTAAAAAATACTTTAATTAAAAATTTATGTTCAAAAGTTTATGTACTAATTTTTTTTTTAGAAAGTAGTAGGAAAGCAATAAAAAAGTCGTCCCAAACGAAGCCTTAATGAAAGAAACGCTGTAACAAGAAAGCATAGAGATGCATGCTATCATTATTTTGAGTTAAGTATTAACGGATTTAGGGTTTATTTGGGATTATTTTTTCGGTTTATAATTTGAATTTTTAGTTCGGTATCATTTTTTTTTATTTGGTTATACTATTTTTGTAATATATATATATATATATATATTATAATTTGATCAGGCAAAGTATGATAGTTGTATGAGAGTTATTCAATTTTCTCATTAAAAAAATTATAATACGGCAATGACTTTATGAAAAAAATATTTTTAATAACTATTTTTAAAGACCGTTATAACCATTTCAAATAAAACCTTTGATCAAATGGCACCGATGACCACGAGAGATTATTAGGTGCGGAGTTCGGACGAGGAGAATCATACGCCACAAGCATTGGTGGGTGCTTAGTATAAGAATACAAGACGCCATTTGTATTTCATATGTAATTTACGTTATCAGTATTTACCTTTTCTACCAGTGTAAGCTATTATATATCTAAGACCATTGTATTCAGCACATAGATGATTAATAATATTTTTCCCTTCTTTGTCTTCTTCGGCACTTTCCTCCGTGTCCTTCTTCCTGTTCTTGCTTCACCTTCTTTCTCTGATCTTTCTCTCATGGTATCAGAGCTCTCATGGGAGATCAAGAATCAATGAGTATTCTGACTCCCTCCTCCCCCTCCACTCAAACCACCGCCACAATCAACAACATCCCTCAGCCATTAAAATTTCTTGTTTCAAATATCAAGAACTTAGCTCCTCATCCCCTAACAACGGAGAACTACCCCATTTGGCGTATCCAGCTTCTCCAGCAATTCACGGCCAACGGTTATGCCGGCCACCTCATCGGCGCCATCAAACCTCCAGCCGATCCAACATCAGCCGAGCACGCTCAATGGCTCCTAGTAGACAGCAATCTTCTTTCGGCAATCTTCTCTACCGTTTCGCAGCCGATCTTGCCCTACATCATCACGTCCACCTCCGCCAACGACGCGTGGACCATTCTTGAACGCAGACTTCAACCAACCAGTCGATCTAGAGTAATGCAACTCAAGAACGAGCTGTATCGCGTTCAGATGAAAGATCAAAACATGCAGCAATATCTCACTCGTATCAAAACCATTGTGGACAACATCACGGCGTTCGGCTCACAAATTGACTCTGAAGACATAATGCTTCATATCTTGAATGGACTCCCGCCCACCTTCAATTCGTTCAAGTCTACGATTCGGAATTCGCTGCTCCCAATTGATCTTGACACCTTCTACTCCATGCTTTGCAATGAAGAAATTCATTTGCAAAACGAGTTGAATATGGAAACCACTTCGGCCATGGCTCTATATGCTGGATCTCTCAACAACTCTCGCAACCGCAACTACAACACTATGCGCTATGGCAAACCCAAGAATCCTCCTTCTTCCACTACTGTTCCGAGTTACAATCAACCTCCGTCAACCACTCAGAACTCAGCAAGACCCACATGCCAAATCTGTGGAAAAATCGGACATATAGCGTTGAACTGCTGGCACCGGAACAATCCGAAATACGCTCCGACGGACACTCGACCGCCTCGAGCTCTCTTTGCCAACCCGAACAATGCAGCAGCCAGGACTGGGTTCTTGACTCCGGGGCTTCCGCTCATCTCACTCCGGACATCGCTCATCTTTCCTACCCGACTACCTATCAAGGGACGGACAATGTCTCTACTGCAAACGGCTCTACCCTTCCCATACAAAACACCGGTCAGGGTCTGCTTCCTCTCCCGGACACGACTCGTAAGCTTCATTTACACAATCTTCTTCACGTGCCGTCTCTCACTCACAATCTCATCTCTGTTTCTAAACTTACCAAAGATAATTCGGTTTCTATTACTTTTGATGCTAACGGATTTGTTGTGAAGGATCTCCGGGATCAACTTCCTCTGCTTCTTGGACGGTTACATAATGGACTTTACAAAATCAGTTTTCCTCAAGACGATCGTCACGCTGCTCTTACGACCACCTCCTCCTCTATTCCCTGGCACTCGAGACTCGGTCATCCCCATCCTGAAATTCTCTCTGTGCTTGCTCGGCAGTTCCCTGATCTTGCTTTTGTAAAACAAACAAATTACTACGACTCTTGTAATAAGGCAAAAAGCCACAAAATCTTCTTTAATAAAAGCATTTCTGTTACTTCTAAACCGTTTGATTTGATTCACACCGATGTTTGGGGTCCGGCCCCTTTAATCTCTCTTGATGGTTTTCGCTATTACATCATCTTTATCGATGATCACACAAGATTCTCTTGGATTTATTTTCTCTCAACCAAACAGGAAGTTCTTTCTGTTTTTAAAAACTTTTGCAATATGATTCGAACTCAATACAACGTCACCCCCAAAATTCTTCGCTCCGATGGTGGCGGGGAATACACTAGCAATGCTTTTAAAACCTTCCTGCATAACAACGGCATCTTACAACAATTGTCTTGTCCTCACACGCCGGAACAAAATGGCTTAGTTGAACGCAAGCATCGCCATCTTTTAGACATCACTCGTGCGTTACTTCTTGAATCTGGTCTTTCGCACCGGTTTTGGGCTGAGGCGATCTCTACCGCAATTCATCTCATTAACATGCTTCCTTCCAAAGCCATCTCTAATAAAATTCCTGCACAATCTCTTCATAACACTTCTCCCAATTATGCAACCCTCCGCACTTTCGGATGTTTATGTTATCCCTGGCTTCGCCCCTATGTCCCCGACAAATTCTCCCCGCGATCTCAGGCTTGTGTCTTCATTGGATACTCTTCTCTTCACAAAGGATACAAGTGCTACAATCCTTCATCTGGAAAAACGCACATCTCCCGTCACGTCGTTTTTCATGAACATCAATTTCCTTACAAACACAATCCTATATCTGATCACACTCACATTTCTTCTCCCGCAGCTCCCATTCCTCCATCCCTTCTCATACCCACTTCCATCACCTCAAACTTCTTGCCTCCTACTCACAGCTATCAAACCACTAATCCCACTGCACCCATTCACAATTCTACTCCTTCCACGGACACTATCACTCCGGATATCATCACAGCACCTCCTTCCGCTATTTCCTCCCAGACTTGCATTCCTCCGCGTCAGCCTGTACACCAAATGCAGACTCGATCCAAATCGGGCATTTATAAACCCAAACAAGTCTTTAATCTTCTAACTCCTGTCACTTCCCCGCTCACTCCGGCTACCTACAACCAAGCCGCAAAGTCTGAACATTGGCGGCATGCGATGCTAACAGAATTCAATGCCCTCCTTCAGCAAAATACTTGGACCTTGGTACAGCCACCTGCAGACAAACCGGTACTCGGTTGTAAATGGACATACAAAATTAAAACTCTACCCAACGGTGAAGTTGATCGTTACAAGGCTCGTTTGGTTGCCCTCGGTTACAATCAGCAATTTGGTGTCAATTACAACGAGACGTTCAGCCCCGTCGCCAAGATGCCCCCCATACGACTACTCCTCACTCTTGCTCTTCATCGGCATTGGCCCATGCACCAACTTGATATCTCCAATGCGTTCCTTCACGGTGATCTTCCGGATGACATATACATGCGTCAACCACCCGGCTTCATCAATCAACACAACCCGAATGCGGTTTGCAAACTCCACAAATCTCTTTATGGACTCAAGCAAGTCCCGAGACAATGGTTCCAAAAACTTACGAGCTTTCTTCAATCCAAAGGATTTACCTTCAGCCGTGCCGATCCATCCCTCTTAATCCTCGACACTACCTCTACGAAATTGTTTATTCTCATTTATGTCGATGATTTGTTAGTTACAGGTAACAACCCCCTCGCCATCCAGCAACTTCTACAACAACTGCGGTCTCAATTTGCACTGAAACAACTGGGCAATATTTCTCTTTTTCTCGGAATCCAGGTAATTCAATCCACCTCAGGTTACTTCTTATCTCAAAAACACTATGCTACAAAACTCCTTAATGATGCAGGTTTTGCAAACTGTAAACCGGCTCCGACGCCAATAGCGCCCGACTCAAAGAAATCTACCTCGCCAACTCAACCGTTCCACGATCCATCCCTTTATCGTCGTCTAGCGGGCTCGCTTCAATATCTATCAATAACGAGACCCGACATAGCCTTTGCCACTAATTGCATTTGCCAACATATGCAACAACCCTCGGTTACTGACTTCAAAGCTCTCAAACGTCTCCTTCGCTACATCAATGGCACCCTTTCTTACGGCTTGCCCATCACCATTGGATCCCTTCAGCTGCACTCTTATTCCGACGCCGACTGGGCGTCCGACTCAACCGACCGAAAATCA